CATTTAAAGGGACATGCCCCAAAATGAGTCACTGTGAACAGAGCAAGGTAAAAAGGGTGTTGTTTTACACGACCACTGAGGAATTTTAACCAAAGTATGTGGCAGACCGTACATGAAGACCCTAAAGAATCATACCAACTTGTGGAAGATCAATGTCCCCTTTGAAGCACAGCCACCACAAAATCAGACTTACTTTGAGATCATTCTGAGGTTAAATACATATTTAAAATCATAACAATAAATATTTTATTAGTTATGATACCGTTTTTGAAATCAAATCTTTACATAGCTATGACAGTAAACACTGGAATCTAACAATGCCTTGGAAAAAAACTGTTAATCTTTAAAAAATGAAGCATAGCTATATATAAACCCATATAGGAAATAAAAGAGTTATCGAATAAGCTTGTTCTAAACTCCTGAAACATTGTTGTTTCGTATTTTAGAGTAGTCACTGCAATTTATGAACGAAATCAATTAAATCTGTATGTGGGAGTGTGTGTGAAAAAAGCAGATGTAACCCCCTTTGTAATCCTTAACATTTTCATAAGTAACTGTAATTTAATTACATATTTTTTCTCAGTAACTGTAACTGATTACAATTACTTTTATTTTGTAATTAAATTACGTAATTACGTAAATTACATGTAACTAGTTACTCCCCAACACTGACTATAGTATATAGTAACGCTTGTGTCTGTAACAGGGTTGACAAAAATACCAAAACATGAGGTAGAAAAATAGTCGTAAAATAATAAATTGCTTAGCTTAAGATGGCACAATACAATTTCCTGTCATTTTAAGGTGTCTTCATTTCATGGATATTTAAAAAAAAATGTTAATTAAACTTATTTTATCTTTTAATTTTTCCAACTGGAAAAGGCACCGATTTCATGTAATTACCCCGAAACATTGGGAGAAAAATGATTTAAAAATGAATGAGAAAATATAGTGATGAATGGATGGGTTTAGGTTATACTACATCAAGAGGCAACAAAAGCCCATTCAGTTGCATGGGAGTTACTACTTACACATGTCTCTTGGATTTGGCAGGAGGGCAGGAATCTCACTTGGGATTCCTGGGAATTGGTTTCCTAGACCTAGAGGATTAGAGAAGTGGTTCAAATCTTCTGGCAGCAGTTTTATTAAGAATAATAAGGCCCTATGGCTGGGCGATTTTTTTGATTTTATCAATTAATTTGAATTTAATTGATAAAATTGTTTTGCCACAATTTTATTTTTTATAAATCAAGGAATCACGACTGTAAATAGAAATATTACCAAATGTTAGAATTAGACACGTTGACAATATGCTAATGATAACAGTTAAAGAGAAAACAATGATCCGACCGCATGAAGGTGCACGAGATTAATTGCTCACGTGTGATGCACTCTATGAAGGACCGTAAGCAGAACATATTTCTAGGTGCTATTCACACAGATTGTGCTTTTGCATTGAAAAAGATATGACAGGGGCAGTGGAATAGGAAAAAATGCAAGGAGATGGGAGCTGAACTTCTTATAACTTGAGCACTGTGTTTTTAGAATGCCGTTTCATGCACAAGGCGCTGCAAGAGATACGAGTGCAATGGTCAAATGTGTCCATCAAGCGCATGTTTATATAGAAAAAAAATGAGCAGTGGAATGCAAAAACCTGTAAAGAACTATGTCTGATATTTCATGTTTGCATGAAATAGTCTACCGAGACAATAGTCTACTGGTCTTACACTTTTAGTGATTTTGAATTGCCTTGAATTTTGAATTTTTTTTTAGCATTTCTTGTGTTATTTCTTAACATACATGTTTAAGACAAGCTTGTGCAATAAGTGCCTTCATATTTCATGCATCTCTACTGTAAAAAATATATCTAACAAGTGATTTGTTTTACATTTATATCATGTTGACAACTTAGGCCCCGATCAGAGAAAATGCGTTTTTCAGGTTTGAAAATGCATGGGGCAACGGACTGTGCAGTGCGCTGCAGTTTTTTTATGTTGCTAGCCAACCACTGAATCAGCTGTCCTGTCAGTCTAAACAAGGATTATAGCGCGAGCGCACTAGAATCTTTGATTTGCAGTAAACTGCCATATTAGCAGAAACTTTAAATATAGTGGGAGCTGTGATTCATGAAGTCAGCTCCGGATAACCTGCGACAGTCACCACAAGTTTCTCCTCCATCATTGCAGTCTCTGGACATTCTAAGCTAATGTAAACTCCCATCACCACAACGATCTCTATTAATTCGATTGGACAATGGAAAAAAATGCAAATGACGTTGGGCGTTCAGAGCGCTCCTACAAAACTCAAGGCACAGCAGGTGGCTAAAATGCGAGGCCCCCGGGGCGCATAAACAGCACACAAAACGCTCACTGCCAATAGAAAACAATTTTAAAAAAGGCACCTCTCACTTCCAAAAATGCATTCTGTCTGATCGGGGCCTTAATGTGGGGTACACTTGGAATAGAGCTTTCTTTAATTAGATGGTTAATATAGAGAATGTTACTTGAATCATGTTACATTTTTTTAAGGTGACTTAAATGTTAGTTAAATGTAGTTACATTTTTAAGATGACTTAAATGTAAATAAATAAATAAATACAAATAAAAATCGAGAATTGGTCAAATGTTCTGAAGAAAACAAAATCAAGATTTTATTTTTTGCCATATCACCCAGCCCTAGAATAATCTCAACAACATATAACTGGCAACAAAATCACTTGTATAAAATGCTTTATATGATTAGTATGTCCCAGATTTCCCCACCAATTATTTCAAAACACAATCTCACCTGCGCCAAGAACAGATTTCTCAAACTCTGTAAAAACATATGAATATCAGAACTCTTAGCACGGACTATGACTATGTGTGGTGTTGCTGTACACAAACATCAAAACATGCAAACAAGCTCTGCACTTACACACCTGGTTTAAGTACAGAGATTCTGTTTTCTAATGGCTGCTCCATTAATTTGGTGACCCACTCCTTCAGTGCAACTGCAGAGGAATGATAAGCTATCACCTCTTTACTTTCCACATTCATACGAGGGTTATAGGGCTCAACATTTACCACAGAGGGCAAATCCACAGAGGCCTGTGACAGAGATTGGTAAAGTCAAGAATACAAACATACAATCTACGTATCTTGAATTGACTTACTTTTTGTAAGAGATCCTAGACCAGCACTGGGCTTCACACACAATATTTAATCATATATACATCTAAGGCACAAATAACAGTACTAAAAATGAAAAATGTATTTCAACATTTGGTCACATAATCATACTCTGCATCACCTTTAAGAATTCTAGTGACTGCGACTGGTCCAGCAGAATGTTGATCTCAGATTTGGTCCTACTCATCTTCTCGATGTTCTCATTAAATTTCTTTATCAAGGAGACCAGTTTGCTCTGACCTTTCTCCTGTTCCTTATCGATAGCAAGCATGGCTTCTTTCTCATCTCGGTCAATCATTTCTCTAAGCTGCCTGTATTCAGACTCAAGAACACGTTTGCGGGTTGCAGCTAGGTCCTGGGAAAGCAAAACCAAAGGAAATGAAAGCTCTACATGCTGACATACGTGATAGTTAAAACTGTATATGCACATCTTGTCATCTCTTACAGTACCTTCATCTGATTCTGCTAAAGATTCCAAAAGAAAAATAAACATTTCCAAACCTTTAATTTGATTTGTTGCTCCTTCATCTGTGTGATAACCTGCTGATTTTTGTCAGTTTTGACCTCAAGGATGTTGAGCTTGTCAGTCAGGTCGGTCTAAAAAAGTTTGAAGAATAACAACAATTTTAGGGAATCCCTTCATTGCCATATGTTTAAGACCACACAATCCTACTAAATGTTTACATATCAAATAATACAAACCCTTAAAAACAAACAAGCAAATATTATAATTATTGGACACTATGCTTATGTTATTTTGCTTAGGGTCAGTTTAAGTCAGTATGTCTAAGATATATATATTTGATTACATTTGCAACATCCTCTGTCATTGAACTAAACTGAATCAACATTGAACTCATTTACTTTTTTATTCATGATACTATCTACTAACGGAATTCGATTTGTTTTATAATTTGGTGGACTGCAACACTGACAATATTACTGAACTAAACGGAATCAACACTGACCTAAATTAAGCTGAATAATGAAAACTGTCTTCTGTAGAGCTGCTCTTCAGCTGAAATTTAAGTCATTTTAGAATTTAATTTTGCGACACTGTTTGTTTTGGTGAAGCTAATTTAAAAATCTGTATTGTATAAAAGTCTATACAAATAACTGTGACTTGACTTGAAATGTGACATGATCAGTGACATGACCTTACAGAATGCTGATATCAGGGTACACCGGTGTTGTGCCCAATTCTGATTATTACCCCCTAGTATTGGAGTGCGGTAAAGTTGGTTTTATGTTGGACATTCGTTAGACATTCGATCTTTACTTCAGCATTAATTTATATGTAACCGCATAGTAGTCATGGATCATGCTGTATCTCCTTCAGATCACATTTAAAAACATAATATCAAAATTAATAATAATATTATTTGATGATGTAATTGTTTTAAACCTCTGAAGTGAAAAGGTCCTCACAACGATCTCCGCTTGCGCACGTCAAGTTAGGGAGTGTCTCAAAAGTGCAAAATCCACAATAAATTTGATTAAATATGTGCATTATTCCATAAAAAACACTAAAACCGTGATCCTTTTACATGTGTAGTTTATGTTGGCAAATAAATTAAGTATAGGTTAAGATTATTTTTAACTTTTAAAGGATTATTATATCTGTTATAAATATCAAGTCAAGTCAAGTCAAGTCTGCTTTATTGTCAATTCTTCCACATGTACAGCACATACACATGATACACATTCAATACGTACACATACACATGATACACATTCACATTTTCACACATACAATATGTAAGTAAACTGAATATCTTAATTAAATAAATGTATTTAACTATGTGGTTGTTTTATTGAAAGAGCTCAAATCACCTACAATGTATTTATACATACATGCAGCATATAGTACACAA